TAAATCATAACTTTAAATAACTCCAGGAAATCCTATAAATAACCCAAGACTTGTATAAATAGCTCCCAGCAGTTTTCAATACCCTTTCAAAATTTATGAATTGGATCTTTTTGACAGCCCTAAGAATTCTATAAATAACTTGAATCTGAATGAATAATTTATAAATAACCCTAGGAATTTTATAAATAGCTCTAAGATTTTTAGAAATAGCCCTGGGAATTTTATCAATAGCTCTAGGATTTTTATAAATAGCTCTAAATCCTCACAGCTAAAGAGGCCAAGCCAGGCCCCAATATATATATATATATGTAGGTCGTTGGATGGATACAGAAGAGACAAATAACATAAATAGATATGTAGACAAATAGACATATATAGAAAGATATGACATAACTATACATAGATTGATATAGATTGATACGAGTATCGCGGCAGACTTGGATAGATATAGAAAGATATGTACATATATAGAGACATATGGATTGGATAGGTAGATATAGGTAGGGACAGGTGCCTCTCTAAACATCAGGCCTGCCTTCCCTGGCCGAGCAAACGGTTCGATCCCAGATGGTTTAAGAACTTTGAGCCAAAACCCCCAAGGAAGAAACAAATGGATGTGCACCTTGCAGCGATCTCAAAAGAACACTCATCGCCGAAAGTTGTGGAGCTAATTTCATGACATCCAAGGTTTGGGGGCAATGGGAGCACCTGTTCCGTATCGGGTTGATAAGATCACACCTCTCAATAACCTTAACCCATTCGTCACTGGTGAGACTTTGGAACACAAAGAGGTGACATTCGAAAGAACGCCTGGAATATTTCCCCGCAAATCTGCACCAAGTGTCATTTTTCCATATGTTTCCATTGAAATCAGTCAAATAATGTGGCAGAAGATTGCACAGAAGTGCCCCAAATTAAGTGCTTTTTGTCCTCCGCGCGCCAATGGAATCCGCAGAATCAACGTTCAGCTCCTGATGGGATCCCAGGATCGGATTCTGTGGACAGCGACAAAAAACATAAAAAACCGTTAAGTGTAAGCAGCAATAAATTCTGAAGAGCAACGACAATTCAATTTTACAAGTTCCATGCCTTTCAACTGAAACACTTCCTCAGGACTACATATTGAGCATATTGGAAGACCAAGGGTTGAAAGGTCAAGCGCATGGATTGAAAGTGATTGAACAACACAATCAAATTCAACGGCACGCACACCATGTTTGGATCATTACTTTGCCCCAATACATGTTTGTTGTACATACTATGTTTACTTCTCTTGTACCGTATGTCCTAAGCTCGTCAGAACTGGGTGATTCAAAACTTATAGTTATCAGATGTTATCAGTTATCACCAAAAAGATAGAAACACACCTCACCATTGAAAAGTGGACATGGGGGATTAATATGATATTATATATATATATTTGAACATGTTAGGGGATTCATGTACAATAAAACAATGATTGATATTGAATTGATTGATAGTGCTTGTATTTCTTCATTCAGTTTTTAAAATCTTAGGGATGACTAAACCATACTATACATATGCCCCCCAGGCCGCGACTCTGAGAGCCGCGCTGAGTTTTCCTTCCTATCCACCAACCACCTCGAAGGCGAAACAAAAATCCCGGCAATGCACCATTAGGATCCATTAGGAGCCATTGGGAGCCATTGAGTCATCATCAATCATGATAGGCAAAAAGAGACCATCATCCATCATCCTTCATAATCCTCATCATGCATGCCAAACCTCAACAGGAACAAAAACACTGGCATCAGGGCATCAGGGAGTGAACATAGCAAAACAACAGAATTGAGCCAAACAAATGCGCAAAAGTAGTAGCAACACGAGCAACAACACACAAATTTGCCTCCAACTAGGAGAGGGTCAATGAACCAAGACAACAGTAAAGCAACACAATATCAACACCAATCAACAGCAACGGCAAAGAAGAAGAAGAAGACGAAGAAGACGAAGAAGAAGAAGAAGAAAAAGAAGAAGAATAAGAAGAAGAAGAACAGCCACAACCAACCATCAACAAACAGTCCATCGACCAGGAATAATGCATCGATCATCAATCATGGGTCTTCATCATCCTTTGCTCGTGAACAAGTTTGTTTGCTTCATTATTTGCCGCCCAATCCCATTGCCAAACACGTTGTATAATATACAGTAATTGAATTGGGAAGTATTGAGATTGTTCGTTCTTTGATGGGGATGGAACCTTGGGGAACAAGACCTAGGCGGACTGATATATCTGCATTATAGGAACTATCCTCAGTCTAGTGATTTACCACAAATAAACACTTGAAACCACCAGACAAACAAATACAAAGTGGAGTATCATCCAGGTTTGCCGGTGGCTCTTGTTGAAGCATGTTGAACTATTGAAGGATATTAAGGCATTTTAAGGCCTTGTACTGTAGGTTATACCTACCATTGACTCATTGTTGTTTTTTCTCCATGCACATCTGCCGAAAAAAAATGACCTGGTACAGTTGGAATTTATGGTGACACTCACTCGCGAAAATCAACATGATGACAGTCTCCTGCCTGATCTTGCAAACAATATAATATACCCAATAATCAGATCAACATCCAAAAAAAACACGAACAAAAAAAACCTAAACCTTGGGTCAAAAAATGGAAGTTTGGTAGGTTGTTTCACTTACCATGATGGAAACATGGTGGAAACCTCAAAACCATGGTTGTTTCACCATGCTGGACCTCAGAGACCACCTTTCCCGCCTCCAGGACAACCACAAAGGTCTGCGAGTCCTGCCGGCAATCGACACAAACATCATCAGGGAATCAAAACAATACATGTTTTTGGAAAAACATGTGCTTCTATTGCTTTTATTTTAGCCATCATTTTTGATGGATGACGTTTTGGTTTTGCCATAACTTTGATGTATTGGCTGTATCTGAAAAAACATGGATTTAACCCGCCGAATGACAATTGTCATCAGATTCATGATAAACCAATGGATTTCAGACAAATCAGTTTCTCAAAAATTGGGATACACACAGTGTTGGCCCAGTTATCATACAAAGAAAACTATCCCGTTCCCAAGACAGAGAAAAGATACATGTTGACGGCATAGATGCGGACTTACCCTACGCAAAAGCAAGGAGTAAATTGAATGAAGGTATGCAAGAAATCACCAGGATCGAAATAGAAGTAGACGAGCCATGATTCATGTTAGGGCTGGATTAAACAACAGAATACTGGACAAAGCCCCATTTTTTGCAAACATGTGTACGGATGTAACATGACGCAGCAACACAACATCATCACTAACATGTGTGTCAGGGGTACAGCATCAACCAGTGTGATATAGATAGATGGATGGATGGATGGATAGATAGATCGATAAATGGATAGGAAGGTAGACAGATGGATGGATGGATGGATGGATGGATGGATGGATGGATGGATAGACAAATGGATAGATAGATGGATAGGTAGGTAGATAGATAGACGGATGTTTAGATAGATAGATGGATCTCCACCCATTTGGGAAGGAATGGAAACGTTGGGGAAGGTTGGGTATACACAGTGAACCGATGGCGGAGTCCTCCACACCGGAAACAAAAACAACAGCATGTAGACACACTGGTCAATGAACACTCCCCCATTCAGTAACTCATACGTTTGTATTAAAAACAATTGAATTCGGGAATCTTTCAGCCATGTTTACCATCAGACCATGATGAGGGTTGTGCCCAGACAGGGTGCATAGCAAACGGTAGTATATAATATCTATATTATGTTATATTGATCATGAAATTTGCTCTCAATTCCTGTGTCAAATGTAAGCCTACATTTATCACTGTCTCTTGTGCTTTGCCAATCGTTATATCTACCAAATTGATCCAAATTGTCTATGATGAAGTCCTGAGAATCATACGCGGTTTGTCTCTGACCACTCTGACCACTCTGACCACTGACCTAAAGCCGCAGCACTTTGCCCACCTCGTCTGTGACGGTCTTGAAGTCCCATTCATCCTACAGGTGATGACATCGGCTGATCCGTTGCTCGAATTCCTCCATCTGTTTGCCCACAGGAAAAACATAGAAAAAAACATGAAACAAAAATCAAACAATCTAAGTGTACGGTCATTATCCAACCAGTCGTTGAATATTTTTCTCTTATATATTCTTTTATCCAATAATTCAAACACATTATCCAACCAATTGTCGCTTGATGTTTCCCATTGTTTCCCCATAAGCTCCGTCCGTCTCCTCTGTGTCAGGAAGGGGACAGATGGCCTTTTCGGAAAAGTCATGCCTGGACCAGCAACACTGGGAAGTCGCATCATTCCTCAATGCTAACCTCTGCTTCGAACACAATGGATCATGGCGTGCCACTATGTGCCACTTGTATATCTATTCTATTGTCCCTGCTCCAACTCTGGATCAAAAGTCCTACTAGAAGATGATGGACCCTAGGAGAAGTTGGAAAGAAAGAAATAAATACTACCTGAGCCTGAAATCATCCTTTCTGCAGCTGCAAACTTATGTGAATGATACAAGCATGTCTACAGTGAATTGCAACAAGTCAGGCATTCCAGTGGCAAGGTGGTTCAAATTCCAATGGTACTGGTGGATTTTTTCATGGCCATGTTCATGGGAATGGATGGCAAATACCAAACACGACCAAACACAACAAACGTAACAAAGACGCCCAAAATCAATGGTCCTATCACCCTGGAATTTCGACCACTTCCAGCGCACTAAAAAAAATGCCTCACTGTGCTCGAGACTCGATAGGCATCTGAACCTGTGGAAAAGGGACAGCTGCAGTCCAGGAAAATGAAACATGGCAGTGTCCCTTCAAAACAGGATGTCTATGGCTGACTCTAGATATCTCTAGATAATACCCTAAACAAAATATAGGATGGTACCTCCATACAGGGAAACGCCCCTTTAACATCCTTTAACCGAACAAGATATCCGACATTATGCGAATCCGGAGACCGAGGATAGATTTTTTTCGTGCATGGCCGTGGCCGTGGCCGGGTGGCCGTGGCCGGGTGGCCGTGGCCGGGTGGCCGTGGCCGGGCGGCCACGCGGGTGGCCGTGGCCGGGTGGCCGGGTGGCCGTGGCCGGGTGGCCGTGGCTGTGGCCGGGGCGATGGGGCGGATGGCCGGGTGGCCGGATGGCCGGGTGGCCGGATGGCCGGATGGCCGGGTGGCCGGATGGCCGCCTGGGTGGGTGGGCAGGTGGGCGGGTGGGCGGGTGTGGCCGGGTGGCCGTGGCCGTGGCCGTGGCCGGATGGCCGGTTGGCCGGGATTTGTGGGTGGGTGGCGGTGGGGGGGAGGAGCGTTTTTAGAAGATGATTGTAATTTGCTTACTGCTGATTTCAAACAATATCAAGCAGCGTTTTGCTGTCCCGTATGTGGCGCAAGATTGCTTGAACAAATTTACCATATATGTCTCAACCAGAAACATCGATTTGTGTGCTAATTCCTACCCACATTTATAAACTCATTCCCCTTTAAGACAACACGATCACTCCATGCAGTTCAGCAGTTAAGTTCTTGCCTCTGTTGTCAAAGCTCTATTTGACAATCGCCTTCATTATCACATGGAATAGCCACAGGAAGCCAGCAGCAGTAGCATTTCTTTCACGGGAGGAGGAGATGGATGAAGTGAACAAAAGGTGTACACCAGCAAATGACGGCGAAGACAAGCACTTGACACGAGATGCATCATGGAATAGGAAACAACTTGTTAAACAAGGTGCCGGGCATCTGAGAGGCCCGCGATTGTCGTCACTTTTCAAACATTTTCTAGGGTGGAATTGAAAAGGCTCAAAAACGAAACTTTAGTATCATCAGCAATATGAACATCATCATCATCATCACCACCATCATCATCATACGGTGAGAATTAACATACAGCAGCGTAGAATGACGCATGTGTAGAAGTGCAAGAGTACCTACAGCGTAGCATGACGTATGTGTGGAAGTGCAAGAGTACCTACAGCGTAGCATGACGTATGTGTGGAAGTGCAACAGAACCTACAGCGTAGCATGACGCATGTGTAGAAGTGCAAGAGTACCTACAGCGTAGCCTGACACATGTGTGGAAGTACAAAAAAAACCTACAGCAGCGTAGCATGACGCATGTGTAGAAGCGCAAGAGTACCCACAGCGTAGCATGACACATGTGTGGAAGTGCAAGAGTACCTACAGCGTAGCATGAGGTATGTGTGGAAGTGCAAGAGTACCTACAGCGTAGCATGAGGTATGTGTGGAAGTGCAAAAGAATCTACAGCAGCGTAGTAGCATGACACATGTGCAGAAGTGCAAGAGGACCTACAGCAGCGTAGCATGACACATGTATGGTGCAAGACTACCTACAGCGTAGCATGAGGTATGTGTGGAAGTGCAAGAGAATCTACAGCAGCGTAGCATGACACATGTATGGAAGTGCAAGACTACCTACAGCGTAGCATGACGTGTGGAAGTGGAAAAGAACCTACAGCGTAGCATGACGCATGTGTAGATGTGCAAGAGAACCTACAGCGTAGCATGACGTATGTGTGGAAGCGCAAGAGAGCCTACAGCAGCGTAACATGACACCTGTGTGGAAGTGCAAGAGTACCTATAGCGTAGCATGAGGTATGTGTGGAAGTGCAAGAGAATCTACAGCAGCGTAGTAGCATGACACATGTGCAGAAGTGCAAGAGGACCTACAGCGTAACATGACACATGTGTGGAAGTGCCAGAGCACCTACAGCGTAGCATGAGGTATGTGTGGAAGTGCAAGAGAATCTACAGCAGCGTAGCATGACACATGTATGGAAGTGCAAGAGTACCTACAGCGTAGCATGACGTATGTGTGGAAGTGCAAGAGAATCTACAGCGTAGCATGACGTATGTGTGGACGTGGAAAAGAACCTACAGCGTAGCATGGCGCATGTGTAGAAGTGCAAAAGTACCTACAGCGTAGCATGACGCATGTGTGGAAGCGCAAAAGAACCTACAGCGTAGCATGACGCGTGTGTGTGGAAGTGCCAAAGAGTTTACAGAAGCGTAGCAGACGTAAGTGTGGATGTGAATGAAATGCAAGAGAGCGTACAGATATGTTGCATCACATATGTGTGGAAGTGTATGTGACGTTATTATACCACCCCACCCCCTGCACCCCACCCCACCCCCCACACACAATGTTATTTTCATAGTAGAAGGCAAAATATGACAACAGTCGCGAGCCTCTCAGATGCCAGGCACCTTAAACAAGTGGCAAGAAACGATCAGAATGTCATATCACAGAAAACTTGTAAATATCATCAATAGAAATTAAAAGGGCAGATAGTCACGGTAGTTGACACCTGCTTGTGACTGTTGGATGCTCAAACTGCTTGGGCCCTGAAAACCTAAAAAGAATTTTGGCACTGTGTGCCCTGCAGAGCCAATGAAACATCTGAATAATTATTATCTCTCATCGACATCACCATCATCACCACCACCATCATCATCATCATCATCACACTAGTAGCATTACCGTGGAAATTCAGCTGAAAGTGAAGATCTCGGAGGTGCATTCACTTGCGTTCTTTTTTTGGGGGGGGTAAAATAGCTATTGGCAGCAAAAATGAACGTTAATTCCTTGCAAACATGATTTAGAACAGTGACACCTGGTTATACGTGTTCCATGTCAAAATCCACCACAACCATAAGGTTGAGCGCATGAGAGAAGTAACATCAAGAGCGTGTTGCGTGGTTGCTTGAGAACATCGAGGGCGTAGCATCAAGAGCGTGTGCCATGCTGCTTGAGATAGTTAAGCGCGTAGCACCAAGAGCCTGCAAGTTGCTTGAGAAATTTAGGATTGAGGGCCCGAAAGGGTTAGCACCAAGAGCGTGTTGTAAGTTGCAGGAGAAAGTTGAAAGTGTGGGATCAAGAGTGTGTTGCCAGTCGCCTGAGAAGTTCAAAGAGTAGCAGGAAGAGTGCGTTGCAAGTTGCTTGAAAAGGTTCAGCGCATAGCATCAAGAGCATGTTGCAAAGCTGCCTGGGAAAGAAAAGAGCATAGCACCAGGCACCATGCAGGAGCGTGTCGCAAGTTGTTCGAAAAAGTTAAGAAGCTCAAAACAATTACAGTAATTCCATCAAAAACACAGGAAACAGGTGGCCGGCTGGCGGGTGGCCGGATGGCCGGGTGTGGCCGTGTGGCCGTGTGGCCGTGTGGCCGTGTGGCCATGTGGCCATGTGGCCGTGTGGCCGTGGTCGTGTGGCCGTGGTCGGGTGGCCGTGGCCGTGGCCGTGGCCGTGGCCGCGTGGCCGCGTGGCCGCGTGGCCGGGTGGCCGGGTGGCCGTGGTCGTGGTCGTGGCCGTGGCCGGGTGGCCGGGTGGCCGGGTGGCCGGGTGGCCGGGTGGCTGTGGCCGTGGCCGTGGCCGGGCCGTGGCCGTGGCCGGGATGGCCGGCAACTAAAAAAAGCTATTGTGCCGGAGACCACCTTAGCCGATCCCAAGTGCCCACGGCCTTTGCCAACCGCAACCCGAAAGGTCATGTAGCAACTGTTCGCGGGGTCGATCTGAGCAGGACATCGGACAATGTCACACGAAGGGTTCAACACCTGATTCAACACCCTGTAAACATAGCCCCCATGGCCCATGAGGCAACATTTGAAAACCCTCAAACAAACCTTGGAAAGTGGGTTCCAATTGTCCCTGGTCTGAATATTCCCCTTGGAGGTCAGGAGCTGCTTCTGATAGTTAAATCCTTGCTGAAATCTAACTTTTTGTGGCTAAAATTATCTGCGTGAGCTTTTTCAAAGGGTGCATATTGTTGTTGGATTTGAGTAGCTGGAGCCCTTAAGAGCCGGTTGCCCCGGTGCGTGCCCCCATGTCTGGTAGCTGTGCTTGTAGCTATCCAGCTTGGGAGGTGTGTGGGCAAAATCTGGTGGTTCACAGTTTCGAAATGTTGTTTTCAATCTGGGGCACTTTTCCTTGCTATTTGCTTCCTTGTTTAAATGCCCAGCGATCATCATGTTTATCAAACACGTCCCCAATTTGTTGCGTCATTTGGTGGGTCAAACTAGCCACTCTTGGTATCTGTCAACAATGAAGCATGGGAGTGGTGACAACTTATGGAGAAAAAAACGATTCACGGATGCGTAATCAATCAAGTTCATCAGTGTGTTGTAAAAATGAACATAGCATCAGCGCAAAATCCTACATAAACGCAACTATAACCCCGAAATATCCCGAACTCATATGAGAATGTCTCATCAGACGAACACTGCGAATGGCGCAAAAAAACCTGCACATAATGATGCTCCCACTTCAGACTGAACCAGTTTTACTCACCCACTCCGCCAGAAGGACTAATGCAGCACTGATTCCCGTGCCACGCTGCTACGCCTCATTCAAACATCTCAGGTCAACAGTTCCTTTTCCTTTCGCCTGGCAACGTCACACATCTCTTTCAACACCCCCACAAAGGTCACAAAAATTCTTCATATCCTGTCCATCATCTTCCATAAGAAATTCGCAACCTTGTTAGCCCTCGTTCCGACATGCACAAGTCCACGGACCTTGCGGAAGGACGCCCCGCCACGGCTCTCTGATGTCACAGTTGGGCGAAGGCACATCTTAAACTGAATTTCCTTGCCCTGGCATTGCGAAAAAATGTGGCAGTGATGGAAGTCTGGGATGAATTTCTGTATATAATTGGATGGATTCACCAACGAAAAAGGGAAACTGCCTCAAGTTGACTCACCAAAAAAAAAGGATCCAAACAACCGTAGAACACAATTTGAATCAATTTGATTTCAGCCACCAGCACAATCATTGTTTTTCTTTAACACTTTCCATTCGCATGCTATGATATGCTATGTACGTTTTCGGATCTGCTACGGCGAACCACTGTTCGTGGAAGAGCACTGCAACCATACTGTACAAGGGCAAAATCAGAGGTCAAAATATCCGGTCTCCGAATAGGTTTGAATTTGAACATAACATAGATTGCAAAAACACAGGATTACTTCATGTATGAATCTGCCAAAGTGGCTACAACACAATTACATTTTGAACCTACCAAACCGAGGCTTTCCCAGAGTTCTAAACGGGAGAGATGATTCCATTGACTCTGCGTTCACCATTGCTTCAAATACTATTTAAGTTTGACTGATCCCCACAGTGAAACAACGATGTTCGTCAATATCCTGACACAGTTTCTGACATTTACAACCATATATATAAATATAACAAATATGTTGCCATAGTTTCTGACACGTCCTGACATATTTTCGGGCATAATATATATTTGTATATAATTAAACAAATATTTATATATATATATATATATTGTCAGATTTTCTGCCATATGTTGTGTTACACATGTTGAGACATTTTTCCATATTCTTCTGACCATGGCCTGACCTATATTTTGAGGTGTAGTCGGATATTTATGTCCTGACATATTTCCGACTATTATCCTGATTCAATCTCCGACAGACATTATGATATACTTGGCCGGATATGGCAATTATATAAATGCTGAACCCAATGTATTTTTTGTTTCGCCAAACTTCCAAACGGGTCTCTTCCTTTGTTAAGCTCAGGATAAAACCAACGCCCACACAAATTTCCACCAAGGCACCCCGGATACTATGTGACAATTTATCTGGCATATTGTCTGACATATATTCTTACTATTTCTGACATACTATCTGGGACCTATCTGGCATACTATCGGACATTCTATCTGAGGCACGGGGTTCGTGCCGAGGCCCAGAGAGCTGACAACCTTGACTTACGGTTCGGGTCCGGCCCCCAGAGCTCACCATATGTATCCATGTCCATGTCCGTGTCTGCCGACGGGATGTCTTGTTAAAATCTAGAGAGCCTCACTTGTTAAAAGTTAAGGAAAGCAGGAAAGAACAAGAAAACAAGAAAAGGAAGAATTAACAATAGAGTGAGCGAAAGACAAAATGCAATGTTCCAACGTTAATAAACATATTTATAATATACTCCTCGATGATCCTGTCCCGCATCACCCAGGAACACAACAAAGGAACATGTATTGATATTCTGATTCATCAATTCAAACAAATCCTTACTTAGATTCACGACACTTGTTCCTCTGCAACATTCCTGATAGTAACTTTGCAGCTCCCTTTAAACCATTTTTAGCGGGATACGCTATACACACGAATCATAAGCCAAGCAGATGTTTCCTGGCGAATGTATCTTGACACTGTTTTGACAGGCTATATTCACGAGGTTTGATGTGCCACAAACTCTCCACGGGATCTGCATAGGCACATTGTGCGATGGGACACACCGATTCAGGAGCTAAGCGTCTTGGCATACACACAATCTTGCTATGGGCACTGCTTGGGGGTGGTGCACACAGAGCCTGCAAGCTTGGGGTAGGCACGGGGTCCGGTGAGGCACACAGAGTCGCGAGCAATGGATGTGAGGCCCACATAGAATCTGCAAATCTTGCCGCGGTAGGAGGTGAGGAGGAAGGAAAGGAGGAGCAGGAGCTGACACAAAATCTAGAGACCCTCACCTGACAGGTGATGAGCCATGAAAACAATACCCTTCACATCAAGTCGCCGGTCAGGGTCAAAAACTTGACCCAAAAAGGGGCCTGATTTGATGATCAGGTTCCAAACCACGGCCATACCGTACATGGTGTTGGTAGATCTACAGTTGCGCGGGTTTGTCCTTCAAGATCGAATTGACCATCTGGATACTTCGGGGGCGTCTGTCCCATAATAACAAGATACAGACATATGGGCTATGGGACAATGAGGATGCTAAGAAGCAATCATGGGGATATATAATATATAATAGGGATTAAAACCATCAATGAAAGGTTTGGCCGCAAATAATGGATTTACCACCATTCCATGGCCATGTTACCAGAGAAAATCCCTATTTTAGACACACCGATGTCCTCATGGTTGATTTTGGGAGCTGGCTTAGCGTATATAGATATCATATTGTATAACAGTTCTGACAGTTCATGCTATTTCATGCTCTGATAAGAGATGATTTGGTGTAGTGTACTACCTTTCGTATGGATATGATGCAAGGATGCAGGGGTCAAGCATTTGAAAGAACCATTTTGGGTTGGTGTAAGGGAAAAGTGCTGGAAACCATCATTTTCCCAAAGGGGATACAACATGATGCAATTTAATTTGTTTATTGAAATTCTGGAATCTCAACGGCCCACAAGATATAATCCATATATATATATATCCATATGCTATGCAATCCTATCCAGGAGACCAGAAAAGGTGAGACAAAACGCTGCATCGAGATCATGGCAACAGGTTTCACCCTGCCATGGTGTTTCGATGTGTTTCGTGCATGATCCCTGCTTGAAGTTCCAAGGATTGAACCTGTCAATTAAGGTAGCTTTTCACGAATTCAACGACGTGGGTAGAAGGGGAGTCTGTGTTTCGGGTGTGAGCCTTGATTTGCCGATTTGTGGTGCAAAACTTGTGGTGCAATGCTTGTGCCATGCGAACTTATTGCAACACAAAGAACGATTTTGGACTGAGATAAGGTTTTGAGCCAAGAGAACAGGTAGTTCGGAGAACATTTTGCAAAGGTAGCTCGGTGAAGAGCCCCGAGGAGAGGTGGTTCAGAAGTGCCTCAGGGAAGATCAAAAAGAGGTTTCTCATGAATAGTTCGGCAAAGTAGCTAAGAAAAGATGTCCCGCAGCGAAGAGTTGGCTCTTTCAATCAGTATTTCAAGATGTCATTCACCCATTTGTTCATATGAGCGGACAAAATTACTTACTACTCGCAATGGACATGGCCAAAAAAGTGGGTGGTCCCCTATCGGCCTATCGGTTGCGAAGCTTTCCACAGAAATTTGAACATCCCAACTCCACTTCCTACTAATTTAGTTTTCGGCTAATTTTGTTGGTTACTCATATCATCCTTTCATTTGTTTCTGCAGCATGCATTCAATACCATTCCATCATTCATTCACTCATTCATGCATTCATTCATTCATTCATTCATTTCATTTCATTTCATTTCATTTCGTTCATTGAGTCATTCATTCATTCATTCATTCATTTCATTTCATTTCATTTCATTTCATTTCATTTCATTCATTCATTCATTCATTCATTCTTTCATTCATTTCATTTCATTTCATTTCATTCATTCATTCATTCATTTCATTCGTTTCATTCATTTCATTCATTCATTCATTCATTCATTCATTCATTCATTTCATTCATTCATTCATTCATTCATTTCATTTCATTTCATTTCATTTCATTTCATTCATTGAGTCATTCATTTCATTCATTCATTCATTCATTCATGCATTCTTTCATTCATTCATGCATTCATTCATTCATTCATTCATTTCATTCATTCCATTCATTCATTCATTCATTCATTCCATTCCATTCCACTCCATTCCATTCCATTCCATTCCATTCATTCATTCATTCATCCATTCATTCATTCATGCATTCATTCATTTCATTCATTTCATTCATTCATTCATTCATTCATTCATTCATTCATTCATTCATT